ATTTGCTGAGGGTGCCCTTGATTCCCTCACCTATGTCATTGATAAAGCTGTTGAAGAGTACTGGTCCCAAGACAGACCCTTGAGGGGCACCACTTGTGACCGGCCTCCATCCAGACATAGAGCCATTGACCACAATCCTTTGGCTGTGACCAGACAACCATTTCTTTATCCATTGAGCAGTCCATTGTTCAAATCCATACCTCTCCAATTTAGAGAGAAGGATGTGGTGAGGGACCATCTCAAAGGCTTTGCACAAGTCCAGGTAAATTACATCTGTTACCCTTCCTTTGTCCACCGATGCTGTCACTCCATCACAGAAGGCCACCAGATTGGTCAGGCAAGATCTGCCTTTGGTGAAGCCATGTTGGCTGTGTTGGATCACCTAGGAGAATATTGCTGCTAACCATGCGCACTATAACTGTGAAGGAAAACTGCTGACTTTTTGATGTATTAAATTAGTCTATCCATTAGTAAGATAGTATTGACTTAGAAATGGGTCCAGGATTATTGCAATCAGTTTTGGTTCTTGTAACCAAAAGTCTTTGCTTTTGAGAAGCTTGAAATTGTGATGACTGATAGTTGGGGTCTAACTTGATGAAATTGGTGCAATTTCAGACTTAAGGGTCAGGCATTTTACAGCTTCTGACTGACAGTATTTGAATGTTGGGGTTTTTTTGGGGGGTGGGGGATGTTTGGTGTGTTTCTTTTTTCTTTAGCTCTATCTAATGTTAATTTTAAGAGCTCCATGAGATGGGGTGGGAGAGGGGAATTGCCTGCAAAATCTAAAAAATGCAGACAGGGAGAAACTCTCATTTTAAGGTGTCAGCGAGTATTCATTCTTGGATGATATTCTGAATCTAGCCTGTAGTACTTACTCTTGAAACAGTCAGTCTATTGTTATATTTATTTTCTAAATAAATGATAATAAATTTTTAAAAAGAGTTTTTTTGCAGGCCTACAAACCACAAACTACATATCAGCTGATGAGAAACTGTCTAGAATGTGATCAAGTTTTCCCTAGCATTTTTGCAACTGCGTGTTTCTGCTAAAAAGAAGATAATACTATTTTATATGAACTTCTGTAAATATTGGTGTGTTATTTAAAAAAATATGTTTTCTAATTTGAACTTTGTAATTTTTTTTTTAGAAAGAGAACTGTCGACCTGATGGAAGGGAGTTAGGTGAATTCCGGGCAACCACTGTCAACATAGGTAAGTGCTTATTTGGAATAATAATAATGGGGAGGTATTATTAATCTCAGATTATAATAGTGACCCTAATTACTTACTAATAATTTTTCTTGGTATTTGTATTTTGAAACAAGAAAGAGGAAGGACTTTTATTTGTAGTTTCAATAGGCATTAAAGAGAATGAATGGTACAGTAATACATTTGAGCATTGCTCTTCAGTCCTGCTCCTGGGCTGATGTGCACAGTGTAATGACTCAGTTCTGCTCCTGGGCTGGTAGGCACAGCACAATTTAGGTGGTTGTGGAAGCTTGTCTGTTTTTAAAATCAGCAGCATATGTTACAGATGCTGAGTGCAGTGTCTAAGCATATACTGACAAGTGCAAAATTGATGCTCTAGCATCATTAAAGGGGCAGTGACTCCTGGCTTCTGCTTTGTTCTAAGCTTGATGAGCAACTGTTTCAAGCAGGGGCAAGATACCTCTTATGGAGTGAGCAGCAGCACCTTACCTGCCTTTCTTACACCTCCTAATTCCTAAAAGTAAAGTAACTGTGGAATAGTTGCTGATTGTTGCTCAAACTTAACACTGCAGGTCTCTTCCATTGTACACTGCTGTCTTCCATTAGGTCTTACTGTAAGTCAGCCAGAAAGTGGGTTTGTGGTAACCATCTATGATTTCTGGTTTTAAAAAGTATGTCAGGGATTAATATTGGGTCCAATCCTGTTCAACATCTTCATTAATGATCTGTATGATGGGGCAAAGTGTACCCTCAGCAAGGTTGCAGATGACATCAAACTAGGAGCAGTGGCTATTATGCCAGAAGGTCATGCTGCCATCTGGAGGGACCTCAACAGGCTGGAGAAGTGGGCTGACAGGAGCTCATGAAGTTCAACAAAGAGAAGCGCAAAGTCCTGCACCTGGGGAGGAACAACCCCAGGCATCAATTTATGCTGTGAGCCACCCAGCTGGAAAGCAGCTTTGCAGAAAAGGACTTGGTGCGGGGAGGTCCTGGTGGACAGCAAGTTGAACATGCAGTGTGCCCTTGCTGCAGAGAAGGTGAATGATATGCTGGGCTGCATTAGTCAAAGTACTGACAGCTGGTGGAGGAAGGTGGTCCTTCTCCTTCAAAAGTGGTGAGGCCACACCTGGAATTCTATGTCTAGTGCTGGGCTGCCCAGTACAAGAGAGTCAGGGATATACTGGGGAGAGTCCAACAAAAGGCCATGAAGATGATGAAGGGACTGGAGTATCTCTCCTGTGAGGGAGAGCTGGGACTGTTCAGCCTGGAGAAGAGAAGGCTCAGGGGGCATCTCATCAATGTATATAAATACCTCAAGGGAGGGTATAAAGAAGATGGAGCCAGGCTCTTTTAATTAGTGCCCAGTGGCAGGATGTGAGGCAGTGGGCACAAGCTGAAACACACGAGGTTGGTTGCCTGAACATGAGGAAACACTTTTTTACTGTGAGGGTGACCAAGCACTGGAACAGGTTGCCCAGAGATGTTGTGGAGTCTCCATCCTTGGAGATATTTAAAAGTAGGCTGGATATGGTCTTGGGCAACTAGGTCTAGGTGGTCTGGCTTGGGCAGAGGGGTTGGACCAGGTGACCTATCTCCAGCAGTCCCTTCCAGCCCCAACCATTCTGTGTGATTCTGTGTGATTGACTGTTTAGTAGGAAGATTCTGTTCCCACACCAGACTCACCAAGACTTTGCTTAGCCTGTGTTTAGGATAAAATGATGGAAAGTAAACACTTTGTGAAGGTGGATGCTAATTATGGACCTTTGAGTGGAAATAGATTTTATTGAACAGCACTTTCTCTCTTCAGGTTCAATTACAACTGCAGATGGTTCTGCCCTGGTGAAGTTAGGAAATACTACAGTGATTTGTGGAGTTAAAGCGGTATGGTTGGTTTTTATTTTAACTTGGCTGTTAGCTGAACTTGTGCATTTGTGTTAAGAATCAATCTATCTGTCTCCTGCAGAGTTACAATAATATGCCAGTCAGACACAATTACAGGCTTTCACCTGAGTTACTTTCAGACACAAAAGTTAACATAGAATTTAATTGTCTAATGCTACCTGTACAGGCTGAGAACATGTGTTTTTGTGGTGTGTATTGTGAATGGGGAAAGATATCTAGAAGTAACAAAGCTATATAGTTGAAGAGTTACTGAATATTGATTAAGTGCATTGGTAATTAGTTGGCTAGACTATTAAGTGCCTTGTAGACTCAACTTTACTGCTGGCCTGCCATGAACTATGAGACAAATCACAGCATGCCCCTGTATTGAGTTTTCCCATAGGAAAGATACAGACAGGGACCGATTAAAAATGGCTCTTGTAAATCTCATTGTAATAATGACTAGCAAGAAAAGTGACCATTCATGTGGTCCAATAGCTGGAAAATATTTTTGTACAAAATTCAGCTCTTAATTTTTGTCTTTTTTCTCCAGGAACTTGCTGCACCCGCAGCAGATTCTGCTAATAAGGGATACATTGGTAAGTTTTTCAATATGGATCTTACTCAGATCTTGTATTGCTTCAGTTCAAAGGCTGTCATGATGGGACAGATTGAGTGTGTGGTGGAGACTTCTTAAAATAATGAATTTGGGCAAAACTGTACTACTTGCCTTAAAATCAGTTTCCAGATTGACATATAAGAAGTGGTACTAGAGAAGTTTCAGAATTCCTTCTGCTCTGCTCATGAGTTTTCCATGCAAAGTTACCTTCTTATTGCTGATTCCAGGACAGGCTGAAAACAAACCTGCAGCAGGGGGAAGTATGTATGTTAAGAGGCAGAAGGTAGTTAGTCTATAAAAGATTATGGCATGCAAGTTTGTGCAAAGGCACATTAACTTCTGTTTTCAAATCTCAGAATGCAAACAGTGTAACTCTTAAAACCATTGAAATAAACCCTGTGTATTTCTTGGAGACCTGAAGAAGTCCCAGGGGCATGTCCTCATTGTTTGGAGTTTCCTTTGAAATAAAATTACTCTGTGGAACTGAGAGCTTAAACACCCTTTTTATAAGGCCTCTCCAAAGAATGTTGCTCTCAGTGACCTAGAGTATGCTTAGGTTTTTTTTCACAAATGTTTATGCATGTTTTTGCTTCAAGTCTAAAGCATCAGGTTTTAATGGCTGATGAAAAGCAGATAGCATACCAGTAAAGTCAGGCAGTGGGATGAAAATGCTGTTGATTCTTGATCTACTTAAGAATGCTTCACACTTAAATAAGAGTTTGTGTGATATTGATAGCAGGATTACAAACAGAAAATGGTAGTTAGGAGCATGTGTTTCTCCATGGAATATATCGTTTCTGAGTACAGAGTACTACAGGTTCTTTAATACCAACTCATACATAACTTTATTTTTTTTTTTTGAGGGGAGAAGTAGGAAGGCTTGATTGAAAAATTCTCGCTCTAGCCTTTGAAGTACATAAAATGGTTTTAAGAGTGTGTATTGTCTTATTTCTGTTTTTTGATATCCCACTGCCTGCTTTCTTTAGTTTATGACTAATGACTCTTGCTACCTAGTTCCAAATGTAGAACTGCCATCCCTCTGTTCAACGATGTTTCGCTCTGGACCACCTGGTGAAGAGGCTCAAGCAGCAAGCCAGTTCATTGCAGACGTGATTGAGAAGTAAGAATCATCTTAATGCATTTAAAACACAAACAACTCTGCAAGACAACTTTCTGTTTCCTGGTTTACTCTCTCATTTTATTTTAGTTCACAGATAATAGCGAAAGAAGATCTATGTATTGCAAATGGCAAGGTAAGTTGTTTTCTCGAAATGAAGATGGACATACTAACAAGATCAGAGTGTTGAGACTTTAAAGAAGGTATTTGTGGTAATAGGTTGTTGTGGTGGTGTTTTTGCTTCTTAGTCTTTGTAGCTTGGTTTACATCTGACTTGTAAAAATTGTATGATAGAAATAAATATCTCTGTTAATATGCCCAGCATTTTCTTAGATATTGTACCATTTGCTCAGCTGCTGTAATATCTCACATGTGCAAACCTTTTTTGATAGCTTGCTTGGGTGTTATACTGTGATATCATATGTCTGGACTATGATGGAAACATCTTGGATGCCAGTTCCTTTGCTTTGTTAGCAGCACTGAAAAATGGTAAGTCTTCCCTAGAGCTAGGGACACCCTCTGTTAGTGTTGCTTGGAGAAATATGTTAGTTTTGAATCATGATGAATAGGTAACTGGTTCACAGTTCCTTAAGACTGCTTTTTTCCTGTCGTTTGAATACTAAACTACTAAAACACAAAGTGGAAATGATGATATGGATGCCGTAGATGTGTAACACCTGGGGAGTAGGATCTTTTTGTATGCGTATTATTGCTCTCTTATAAAACTAATAGCTATTCTGCCGTGTGTTCTGTGTCAGACATCCGAATCTTTCAGCAGTGGTCATGAACAACTTTAATGTCTAGATCAGGGTCTTTCTTTATGTATTTTGCATAGGCAGAGTAAGTTGTTCGGGGCTTTGCTTATTTGTCCTGATAGTATTCCTAGCTTAATGTGTTGTAGTTTGAAAATGTTTTCATGGGTGCAACATATGGATTGACTGCTCACAGGTGTGTGGGTTATAAATGCACGTAGGAGGCAGTATAAAAGGAAGCTTACAGCAAAGCCTCTTTTTCTAACTGAATTGCTTGCCTGTATAGCTACTTCACTCATGATTTTATTGTCTGCAATACTGTATGGGTTGTCAGAGTAAGAGTTATCTGAAGATCATACTGCACTGATTTTCGTGTGTCCAGTAGGCTTTTTGGGGAAAAGTACTTTTTGTTAAATGTGACTCTAAAGGTATTCTAATTGTATGGCATTTTGGAAGCAGAAAATGCTTCTGTGTAAGGAAGAATGTTAGCTTGAGGAGAATACTTTCTCGAATGGGTACTTCTAAGCTAAATACTTCCCTCAAATTCAAGAAATTTTTTGTACAGAACACCAGTAATGTAGCCAAAACTCTATTCTGATCTCTCTTCAGTGGCTTACCAATATGGTAAAAGAAGAGCTTAAATATTTCAGTAGTCTTGGAAATCTCTAGGCCTACTAAACCCTGCAATGTTTAATATTATACCATTGTCATTTTTTCATCTCTTCAGTACAATTGCCATCAGTTACTATAAATGAAGAAACTGGTTCATCAGAAGTTAATTTAAAACAGAAGAATCCTTTGATTATCAGACAGCATCCAGTTGCCACATCATTTGCTATATTTGATGAGTAAGTTCATAACTGTTTTGTACTTATGAAAACAACAGTGTATGTAAAAGAAGTGAAAGACAGAGGATGCTACCAATGTTTCTACACTTCTTAGGCACTTCTGCTAGTGAAGAACGTGCAGTCTCAGGCAGTGCTGTTTCACTTGATCTTAAATCTGCAACCTCTCTTGTTGAACCGTCCTGTAGTTCTGTGATATGAATGAGTATGCAGACAAAATGAAGTCTGTCTAACTTCTTCCTGTGACTTAAAGCAGGACTGGTTCTCAACCTAAGAGATGTTCTTAAAAGTACAGGAATAAGTATTGTTTTTGCAGTATCTTTGAGATGAAAGAATTACCAATGCAACTAATGTTTTAGAAGCCTGTGTACGTAAGTGATATAAAAGATGGTAGTTTTTGAACAGCTTATACCAAGGATTTAGTCAACAGAGGAAGTAAGAAGTAGTGGTCCAGGTAGAACAACAGAACCTCTGGATAACTGAAAACAGTTATCCACTATAAGTATGACGAGCGCTCTTAAGTCATTGTTCGTGTAGGTAAAGAATCAGATTATGAGAATTCAAAATAATCACATCTGATAATTTGATTCCTCACCTGAAATTGTTTACTGGCTCTTCATTAGTTCAAGTATGTTAAGTATGTGTTCTGCTGCTGTTTATAAGAAATTATTTATGGTGGTATTCATTTGAAAAGAAGAAAATGACAAATAAGGTGATTCTTACTGTGCTATGAATCTGATTTAAGATTTAGGTATATTTAGAGACATCTGGGGTTTATGGCATATTAATCTCTGTTTGCAGAAATGATTAATAGGCCCTTTTATTCAAATATTAGATGGGGTGGGGGGAGCACGAGACTCAAATGTTGACCAAGTGATTACCAAAATGAATCAAGCATAAAGTACTTCAGACTGGTTCTGTTAATTGCTTTAATACCAGTTCTTGTGGGTCTGAAGTTTGATGTAGATGGAGAGAGTTTAGATAGCATGATAAGCAGACAGTTATCATCAGTAGGATATTATTTGCACACAAATCACACGTACTTACCAAGAGACAAAAAGGCTGCCTGGGGAAGAAAGCTTTCAGTGACGGTCTGTTGGGCCTTGTTCCCTTCGCTGAAACTTACTGCTGCGTCAAGTTACTTACGTCCGCCTTTAGCTCCTAAAACTAAATTTTGTGTTGCGTTTTGTCTTTTTTTTTTAATTCTGGTTTATTAGTTTTTCTACAGCTGTTCACACAGCCCTATAAATAACATGATTTACATACTCTGGCTTCCAGAGACATTCTTCTTCTGCATGAAGGCCCTCCTTGAATAAGTAAAAATGTGTTGCTGGATAGCGTGGCTGTGGGCGAGGAACACTGGTGTGCAGAGCACTGTACCGCTCCACAGCTGGCTCCTGTGGATTCAACCTGCACATTAGTAATAACTCCCATGTTTCGAACTTTCCGTGTGTGCTGCGTCTCTGTGTCACGCAAAGGGCCAGTGCTGCACAGTGCATGTGGGTAGAATTAATAAAGCCATTATTTTTGAGTAGCGTAGCTACGAACTGATGTTTTTGTTACACATCGCTATTAAATGGCAATATGAAAATAATGGTGAAGTTTTAACTCGCCCAGAAAACCTTTAATTATGCATTGCATATGAGTTCAAACTGAAAAATTATCTTTCCATCTATTTTGTGTAATTAGCTCCTGTAGCCTTGCTACTGACTTCCACCCTGCAGACGTGTCATAAACATCAGTTAGCATAGGTGTGCTCCAGCTGCTAAATTCAGTTTGATTACATCAATACTAAATTTTAGTTTAACAGTGTAAACTGAGGCTTCGTGAAAACTTCACCTAAAGTCTTTCCTGTCATGATTTGTCACTTCAGACAAATGTTTGTAATGGTAGTGATTTTTTTCTTTATTATTTTTAAGCAAGCTAAGGCTGAACAGTAATTTTGGCTTTTTTTAACTTCAGTTTTTTCTTCTGCAAAGTTGGCTTATAGTTTAGATCCTCTTTTTTTCTTTCTTTCATTAGTTTGCTCTATTTTTAACTGATTAAATGGTTCAAAAATAACAATATTTAAGCACTTAGTGATCTGCATCATGTAACGTATGACAGCTTATTTTGGCTGCCTTAAGGAACGCGGTAAATCCATTTTTGAACTATTCTCAGTCTGAGTGGTGAAACTGGGAACTACTTTGGTGAATTACTATTGCAAATCAGGTTTGCCTTAAGGCCTCATAGAGATTAGTGCAGCCTCCACCTAAAACCAATGCCATTTTCTTTGTGTAACTATGAAATAAATGACTGCATATTGCAAATGGCAGTTTAATGGCATTTTCCTGCACTACAAGGGTGTCACAAATCTATGACACTTAGGCATAAAGATGTTTTTTCCACAGTGAGTATTTTCAGAGAGGTATGCACTTAAATATGTGGAATCTCCCACTTAATTTCTTTTTTTAAATTGGTGCATTTGATAAGAAAATAGGTAAGCCTGAGCACTAAATCCACCTACAAGTATTTTGTAAGACTACAGTAAAAATAAGTTCTGTGTACTTTGCAGTAATGTTGATGGAGCAACACACACTAACCTGTCTGCATATGTTTTTCTTTTCCAAGCACATTACTTATTGTTGATCCAACTGCTGAAGAAGAACACTTAGCAACTGGAACAGTAACTATTGTAACTGATGATGAAGGCAGACTATGTTCTGTCCATAAACCAGGTACTTCCAAGTCCCTTCCTACACAGAAACATAGGGAGAGGATAATATTTTCTTGACCTAGATGTTATGAACCTGCTTTTCTTTGTAAAATGTGGGTGCTTTATGATAACAGGCTGTCTGCTTTTGTACTTATGAAACGACTTGCTTTTGAAATCCATTTTGAAAAAGCTGGCATGACTGAAGTTGTAGGTCCCAATGATCTGGTCTCCTCCAGCTGAACTAGTCTATTCTAAGTTCAAAAAGAAGTCACAGAGCTTGATCTACATAAAGCAAAGGACAGATCTGAACATGTCTCCTGTTATACCTTCATTTTGTTTCTCTTTTCTTTGCCTAAGGCTAGAGTTGGGAAGGTGTATGGTCCCCAGGTGAAAGTTGTTTGTCATGAGAATTACTCTATTACTTAATACTCAATTTGGAAAACACAGAGATAGTTAACTGAAGTATAAATAGGAGATAAATTTTTTTCCTTTAATTTTTAGGTGGAAGTCCTCTTACAGGAGCCAAGCTTCAGGACTGTATCACCAGAGCAATTACAAGACACAAAGAAGTAAAGAAACTGATAGACAAAGTGATAAAAAGTATAAAGCCAAAGTGAACAAAAGGAGAGACCTTTTCAAAAATGGATTTGTAAAAATTGTATTTGTTACAGTGTTCACAAACCTTTTATACTAAATAAACAAATACCAATACTACATTTACAAAGTTCACTTTTTTTCTAAAATGTTTTTCACCCTTATACTATGTACAATGCTGCTGAGTGGTAAAAAAGACAAGATAAAATGTTCTGTTAAAAAATTGACTGAAGGAAACTAGCCCCTAGCTGCTTTATAGATTAAATCTGTAAGTTCTGTAGGGTTGGCTTCCAAAAACAGTTCTTTTATTTCAGTGTAACAGCAAAAGCTGATTTTTCACCAGTAATATAAAACACTGATTTGATTTTAAGCTGTCTCTTTTTTAATGTGAAGAAAAAAAATCCCCTCTGAATCAATTTTTTATTTAGAGGGGAAAGAAATAAAAAACCCCCAAACAAACAAGTATCAGGATTTTGGAAGTGCCGGTGTACCTCTTTTCCTTTTACTTTTTGAGTGGCTGCCTGAATGCTGTTGATGATGCAGGTGAGCTGCTTGTGCTGCTGCTGCTGCCATAGCCATTTGATGCTGCAAGAATCGCAACCGCTGCCATGAAGGAGAACACGGAGAAAAAAGCTCGTTAGTGTTGACTATATGTTTTATGTCAGGAAGAATTGAGAGGAATGTGGGGGAAAAAATGAAAAAAAATGAGGAAGCACCAGGTTGACAAAAGGAATACACTATGTACTGGGGTAATGAGTACAGTCAAGCAGCACCAGTGGCACAGAAGCCTGCTGAGGGCATATCTAACATTTTACACGTGTACATGGACAGCTTTGTTTCTTTGCCCTTCCTCTCCATTGCAGTAACTCAGCAACTTCAGTGAAAGTTTGGGTTACATAGTACACTTTTAACATACCTCATTATATGTATTTTCTATATGTATCACAAATAGGAGACTGTGTGCTAAAAATATTAAAATATTTTCATGCAGCATCTGAATGACAGAATACTAAAGGAATGCTTTGCCAGAGCTGTTGCTTCCATGTACTGACTGTAGCAGTTCTACATTTGAACTTACAGGTACTTAATTTCATGCTATTGTGAAAGCTGTTTGGCACCTGGCAGAGCTTATTTAGGTATGTGCCACAAGCACTCCTTGAATGTTAGCAAATCAGGAAGGTGGATGGCTTAAATTAATAAAAATAAATTCAGTGCTCCAAGCTGAGAGAACCCCAGATTTCAAATGTTTCATGATATAGTTTGCTAAAAGTCCTGTTTTTCATTTGCAAGACCATAAAGACATTAGTTTAAAAAAAAAAAAAACAAAACTGTCAAAGGGGCAAGATTTTTGGTTTTGGAGCCAAGAACTGTATTTTTAATTTTTTTAAATTTTATTTTTTAAACACAGTCAGATTGAAGTTGCTGGATTACTTGTATCTGTTGCTGCTGCTGCTGCAAGGCTTGTTGTTGCTGTTGTAAGGCAGAAGAGAGCTGGAGTCTCTGCTGAGGAAGGCTTTGCCCAGGTCTGTTCACAGCAGAGCCAAGCTGAGACAACACTAAGAAAGGAGAAGGTGAAAGCAGGCAGGTCAAAGAGGTCAGGTTGAGTTTGTCAGGGAAGGAAGAGAAAGGAAGAGAGCGTAACAGAAAAGGAGGATCAATAGAATTAGTTTCAAAGTCAAATTGGAAGCAGTGCAGAATAAAGTATACATGATATACATACTGTTAGTTAGAACATAATTAGATTGTGAAGTACTTGTGGAGACACAAAGAGGTTTTTTGTACTGGATGTTAAGCACACAGTTAAAGAAACATTCCTCAATGAAGTCTGGCATGGAAGTTCCCTGTATTTTCTTTTTGTATCAACTGACATTTTCATGTGGTATTATCAATTTACTACACTTAACTGCCAAACAAAGCAGAAAAGTGCATGCTTTCAGTTCACTTTCTTGTATCATTCACATCCTGACAATAGTAAATTTTTCTGATGTAATGTAAGACTTTAAGACCAAACTTCATTTCAGTGTGAATTTATCAACATACACACTTAACTACAAAAGGAGGCTCAGCAAGCACATACCTGTGGCTTGAGGTTGCATGAAATTCCCTACTCCCGTCAGGTTAATTACAGCAGCTTGTTGGGCAGATAATGCCTGATCTTGATTGGATGGACCTTGGTCAGACCCCTAGCAAAAATGAAAAGCTTGATCCTTATTCATTTATACCAAAGTTTGGTAATAAGTAAATAAAGCCAGCGTGAAGGCAAACTTCTGAAGTGACATTTAAAAACATTTAATTCTACATCTTCCAGTGCATGTAGACACAGGCTATAATGTAGCCACTATTAAAGTAGAACAAAGAGATGCTGAATGACCCAAACCAGCTCTGTTTTGGCAGAAATTGTATTATGGCTGTTACCCAGCAGAAGTTCCATGCAGTTGTCAACTTCCCTGCAGTCAGTAGAGGCTACAGTTTATGGTTGTACTCTTATGACATTTCCTGTCCCACTCACAAACCCAAAGTCTTCAGGTGATATCTGAAACCAACCACGTGCAAAGGTCCTAATCAATCGAAATGTGAAAAGTCTGAAACTTATATTCACATGTTCATATTGTGCCATAAACTTAATTAAAAATATGAACCCTGCCTTTAAAATGTTATTTTCAGAACAGAATAGTTCTCCCAGCAAATACTGAAATGGAATTAGTGGTGTCTGATCTAGTGTCTACTGAAGTCAAAGGGTACTGAATTAAGATCTCTTCTAGAACTTAAATTATGCACTGATTCATACAGTGGAGAAATAAAGTGTTATATATGCGATTTAAACAAACTGCATGGCTTATCAGTCACGAAAAAAGTCGCTTTTAATCTGGTGCATTTCCAGGAGTTGTAATGCTTCTTTAGAATAAACATATGAAATAAAGTCACTAAGATCTAGGTAAGCTTGACCAAAAGACTGTGCATTTTAAGAAGACATCACCATCTCAACAAATGTAACTAAGAAACATTTACAAAGTCATAGAAGCAACATTTGGGGAAAAATGCTAAGGTCAGAATGTATATATTCTGTTGTCAGCACAGAAAAACTTGGTGTTTTGGGGCTTACGTTTTTTCCACTAAGCACTTGGATCAGAGCACTGTGAACACCTATATTCTTGTCCTTAGTGAAAGCTCAGGAATCTAGTATTTGTCTCATTTTAGCTAATGACCCTAGTCTTACTCTATAATGCATGGTAAGAGAAGTTCCTTAGGGCAAGTTGGCCAATGCAGAGGAGATTGATTTCCTCCAGAAGAACTTTCTGCCACAAGGACTAGGCTTACATCAGCCTTCTGTAAATGCCCTTTTAGTTCAATGTCTAGAAAATAAAACCCAATAGTATGAGCTTGCACTATTTTTTTTAGTAATTCACCTAGTAATTGACATTTGGATTCTGAGAACAAATCTGAAAGTTTCCCATTAAACTGTCCCACATTCCAGAACAAAGCCTGTGACACAGGAGACTATACACCATATAAACACCTGAAAGAGGCATCTTATCTATGAACAGTCTACAGTAGTACAAGCAAAATTATTATGACAAACTGAGTATCCAGTAGAGACTATTTGGTAAAGAGAAGTCCTGCATTTCTGTGAAGACAAATAACACAAAAGCAGAGCGGCTAGTTTTCCCAAATTGCTGCATTAGTGCAGGTGAGATTTTCAGGCACGCACAGGTAGAACCAAACACTCAAGATTTGTTATTTGGAGGACAGATTGGTCCCTATCAAGAATTACAGGCAGCAGTAGTGTATGTCTTAAGATGACAGCTTTAAAGCCAGCTGATACTTTCTCCAGTGCAAAGAAAACAATTCTGTTGAACTACAGCAGTGAGGATTCACAAGCCAACTCACAGCAGTGTAAGAAACAAGTTTTACTGACTCTGCAGTAATCTTGATTGTATTTCTTCTCTGTTCATCTGATGTATCTGCTAGTTATGATAAACAGGACAACACTAAGCTGATTTTACACCACTCATACAGTGGGCTGGCTCTCTTCATGCTAGATGTAGACAATGCTGGCCAGTTGTTTTGTTATGGCTCCTCTTCTATACATATATAAATAAAGGAGTATAACCCAGCTCCAGCCATGGCAACAAAGCCACTGTAGTCTTTGCAGTTTGAGGTTTTGGAGGAAGACTTTCTTCCCCCTCTGCTTCAGATGTGCAAAGGCTCATTTACTTGGGGAGATGGGGAGAATAGGAGAAACTGTTTCATCCATGCACCCCAGACTGAGGGCTGTTAGCACACACCTGTTCTCCCTGTTGCTGAGGACTACAGGTTGTAGGCTGCTGAGATTGTTGCTGTGGAGAAAACTGTGACAGCTGCTGTTGCTGTTGTTGCTGGAGTGGGTTAAAAATAAGTGAACCACCTGGAAGCTGTTGAAGATTAAAAACAAAAGGCATAATTCAATCAAACTGCGGAGCTTCACACTGTCCTAGAATGAGCATGACATTGATAATGATGTACTCCTTGGAGGTTTGTTTTTGTTTTGTTTTTTTTTTTTTTTTTTTTCAATCCTTTAAAATGAATCAGGTTACAACTGCAGTTGTTTGTGAAAAAGCCTTATGCTCAGAAAACAAACCTGCATTAAATTATTGTGAGATATTTCCACAGGAAAATAATTTTTTTATTATTCTCATTAAAATAATAAAGATTGTACTGATACTGGAAATATAAAGGCTAGTCTTTAAAAGCACTATTATTTTCACTTTCAGAATATTCCACTGAATTTTAATACATGCTTCCAATCAACAAACTGCAAGGTCTGATGCAAAAAAATATTAAAAGTGAAAGTCTTGATTCCTCTCCCTTACCCCAGCTTTATTTGCACTGATTTCAGCCAAATTATTAGTGGCTTGTATGAATGGCAGAGGTAGCTTGAAAGGACGTACTTTAATTTTATAAAAGAGCTCTACTCTGGCATAACTGCCTCCTGTGCCTGCCCTTTTCCATGTTTCTGGAGTGTGTATAGGAGTGGGAGGAGGCAGCAGCAAAGCTACAGCTGATCTTTCATTGGTAGGAATTTTCTGAAGCACGGTGCAACATTTGTAGAACACTGAACCTGCAATTCTGCATCTGTAACTTGCAGCTCACTTCAAGATCCAGCAACTCCACTCCAGTCCACAAATACTCCCTGTTCTACTTTTAAATGGAGCTCTGACCTCATAAGCAACTTTTGCTCTTGTTTGTATTTGTATGTATGCTTAGTGGAAAGGAAACATTTAGAGACCTTTTAAACTCCCTATCTTATATGAACATCTATTTCCATTACCAGAAACTCTTTAAAGCTATTACTGCATGTACCTGTGTGGGTTCAGCTCAGCTTTTAGGCCTTACATGTGTAACCCCTGAGTGATACTACTGTACTGTTTTGTACTTTTAAAATAACCATAACTTCAGTTTAAATAATGCTTTGCAATAAAAGCTTAAGCAAATCCTGAAAACAGAAGATTGTATTTTAGGATTGATCTCTGGAATTCAAATGTCAGCATTTTTAGATTGTTACTGAGAACTAGCTGCTTTGTTGTGAGCTAAGAATATAATTTCCACCTGGTTACCTTTATGGAAGTAGCTTCTTCTCTTGTTTAAAGTGTTTTAAATTAGCAATTAAAATTTGCAGTAAATGGTTTGTCTGATCAACTGGCTTCAAAGATTGGGGGGGGGGGTGGCAATGCAGTAAGCAGCACTAAACACATCTCTAAAGAAATTATCATTATTATTGTGTCCAAGTATATAAATTACCTGTAGAAGATTTAAGGGCCGAAGATTTGATGCATTTTTCAAACCAAAGGGGCTGCCTGTTAAAGAAAATATCTTTTTATTAGTAGGAAGTCTTTAATTATATATGTGTATTGCAATTAATACACCTTTCCACTGGGATAATTTCAAAACATTTTGAAGTTGGAAAACTGGCAAGTTTAGATTTTATACTTTAAACAATGCTGCATTTTCCATAATGTTAATAAATTCATAGTTATCCAGATTCAAAGTTAAAGAGAGCTAAATGGAAAGAAATCTGTATTACAGAACACTGTACCCCATAATCTATAATTTGTTAATGCATTTACACAAAGGTGAATGTGGAGAATATCATAGCAGTGATACTCCTGGCTTTAAAAAGTTTTACTGTTTGTACAGTAAATCCAGAAATGTCCAAGGGCTCAATGACGTAAAAGGCTCTCAGTTTCTCAATCATTAACAGAAAACAATCCCACAGAAGATCTTAGCAACTGTCCACCCCTGCAAGGGCTTTAGACAAGATGTATCTGACTTGAGCTTTTGGCATTATTCCACATGGCACTCTTCAAAGCTATGCTAAGAAAAGATGTATATATAGTAAGCTATGAGTTGGGTATAGAACAGATACAAATGTTCCAGTAACACAGCAGCTCTCAAACAGAATCCCTCAGAGGTCTGCCACAGACCTAGCTCAGCTCACTACTCCCATCTGTTATGTGGGTGACAGTGTAGTGTGTAAAAATCTGTGTCATCAACCTAGTAAAAGTTGCTAGTGCTTGAAAGGACAGAATTAGAATTAAAAGTGATTCTAGTGAACTGAAGAAAAGGTCCAAAAATCAGTAACAGTGAATTGAAAAAAAAAAGGACAAATGAACAAGTACGAAATTGTGAGTAACTAGCTTTGTGTCTATACAGCAAGAAAGGACACGAGAAATAACAGCAAGTCACAAACGCATCCAAATCATCCATATCACAAACTGTAGAACACTCAAAAGAAAAGAACCTCTTCACAGTTTACATTTATAAAACTCACTGTCACAAGATGCTGTAGATGCCAAAAATACAACACGGCTTCAAAACCAAATAGATAAATCCACAGACTAGAAGTCTACCACGGGATATTAAGCTCAAAGATCCACATGGATGGTCCTCAGCTGAGAAAGTCTCAAAGCTGTAGATTGCCAGAAGAGGTACAGTTGTATACAAGGGATGTTTCACTTCACACTTCTTGTTTGGTCTTACACTCTCTCCTAAGTATCTTCTAATGGCAACTGTCAGAGACAGAATATAAACTGGACAGATTTTTGGCCTAAACCAGTCAAGCCATTCTTATGTTAATGTAATGCTGTTGTAAAAAAATACAAATAAAAAATAGGCAGACCTCATCTGGGGAAATGTTAACAGGAATGTTGGGAAAGAGATGAGATGCATTTATTCTGCTGTGCTCCACAGTGGTAAATCAGCCAAGCTCAGGCTTGTGTCCAGTTTTGGTTATCACATTTTAAGAAGGATGTAAGCAAATTGGACAGTCTAGAAGAGAGTGACAGGATTATGAAAGGTTTGAAAAATATGACCTATCAGAAAGAGAAGACAAATGTGGGACATGACAGCATGTTTGATACTTAGAAGGTAAAGAGAAAGGGCGAACAACTATTTTTCATCTCTACAAGGAACAGGAGAAAAAAAATCATTTGCAATTAAGGAGATGCATTGCAATTAGAAGGAAACATTTGGTACAGCTAATAAACTACTCCAAACAGCTAACAAGGGAGACTGGAATCTTTAGTGAAGGTATTTAAAGTCAGTTTAGATAAGCACTGGTTCAGTATGGTTTAGACAGATTTGACTCTGTCTCAGTGTAAGGGATGGGTATCTTGAAGTCTCTTCTATGCTTCTGATTCCATAACTGTATATTAGGATTCTTTTTTATTTTATTATTTTTTTCAGAAAAAATAAACTAAGAATTTAAATGCTGCTTTAGTGAATATTGAGGCATACAGATTTATACAGTCTTAAAATCAAAGCATGCACTTTTCTGCTTTGTTTGGCAGTTAAGTGCAGTAAATTGATAATATTTGTATATTTCCCCAGTTTAGCTCCTCAAAGTCAATTTCAAACAATCACAAACATAGCCTACACTTTGAATGGAAAAATATGTATGTTGTTCCCCAGCTCCAGCGATCAAATGCACAATCTATTCACACAATGGCCACTTTTCATCCATTGTTCTCGTATTATGTTTCCACACTGCCCCTATCTGAAGGGTGGCTTTGACTTATTCACACTAACCTGCTTGAGAGGCAGACTGCATTGCAGCGGGCAGCGCACTCGGTACCAGACCTCCTGATGGTAAAATGCCACTCAGATTTATACCTGCAGGGGCTATGGCACCAGTGTTGCACCCCAACATAGGGTTTGAACCACTCATCAGTGTCTGTGCTCCACTGTAGAAGAGGAAAGACAACATATCAAACTCAAGTGGTACAAACAACTCTGAGTAACTGAATTTTTGCCCTCTGTCTCATGATGAATAAATAAATTGTTTGCTGTAAATGGGATTATGGATAAAACATCAAGGCAGCTTAAAAAAATCATCATGCCTAGGGTATAACAAATACATAAATCCATATTCTTGGCATATATAATTTTTCTTCCTGGGTATAATGTACAGAAAATAAAACAAGTGGTTCAGTCTTCAAAATGGTTATGCTATCATAAGAAAAAGTTAAGGAACAGGTTTGTGTTTTCTTTTTGCACTATAAAAAAGAACTCTAATTAATCAACAGTGCTCAGCTACTGAACACCTTGGATGAGTAATTCAAGTGTCTGATACTTGCACTGAAGCACATTGTGTGTCTTACACTGACCAGCTTATACTGATCACAGAATTTCATTTAGTCTAAAAAATAGAACATGTTATACCATACAATTTATTATTGACAGCAGCATTTATTTTTTAAACCATAAAATGAGTTTTAAGGATCAAAGAATGCTTAACCTCAATGTTTGATTGAATTGTCAGAAAACAAATTTGTTGTTTTCTTGTATTTTATATACAACATTTCATTCATAGGCACTTGAATATCAAACCTCTTTCAATTTTTCATTTAGAGTGATCTGCATAAGATATTCCACCTCCTCTCTGATTAATATAAACAATTTCCAAACTTAAAGAGCAAAATCTCAGAAACTACTTCAATTGCAGCTAAGCCTTATGAAATTCAACATGTTGATAGCACAACTTTCTTAATAGACCTTTTCAATATGCTGATAGTAGATGCCTTATATTTGAGCAATACAAATAGTTTCCAGTGGCTCTACACTTCATAATTACAAAGTGAACGATGTCTTTGTATTGCAGATCCTGAAAAATATCTATCCTAAAGGATGCCTGGCAGTCCTATACCACTCGCACCCTCCCTGTCCGCTCACCCCAAAAACCAGCCCACTGAGAGCAAATTAAGAAGCCATCATAACAAAGAACTTACCACACAGAGCCCACTACATTGATGAAGTTAAGTCCTGCAGGGTTTGCCATGACCTGGGTGGAGGTTGTTCCTGTAGTAATGGATGTTACCATGGTGGAAAGAGGAATGGTCATTACAGGCAGTGCCTGGCTCAGAGACATTTGCTGCTGAGCAAACGGGGTTAACAAAGTGGGCTGAGGGGTGAAGCCTGAATCTTGGGGAGTAGGGGTGGCAGAAGGGGTAATAGGAGTTGAGCTCTGAGCATCAGGAGGGTGTGGGGTCGATGAAGGGGTGTTGGTTGGAGTAGGAGTAGATGGTTTAGGAGTTCCAGACCCTGCTCATTGAGAAAAATAAAAAGTGCTAGTTTGTTATAAAAGGCCAGTTCTTTTTGTATAATAAGGTTAAGGAATCTCATTTAGCACTGACACTTTGTTCCTTTTTTTAGTCTGCAAGTGTTAATCTCTACACAACACCAGTGTTGCAGAACGCACTAATTGTTAAGGATGCAGTGTAATCACACAGAAAACCCATTCTCCATGCTTAACTTCTTAAGCCATAATTTGTATCCTCCATTAAGTCCTTCCATAATTTATGGCAGATTAAGTCATAACTCCATTCAAATATGTAAATAAAAATAAAACTAATTTCTTAGTGACCATTTTAACCTTATTAATGTTTTTGTCCTAAAATGTTAAACATATAGTCTATATGCACTGCCTGCACAACAGCATCGTGTTAAAAACATATCATGGAAAACAACAGATTCAACAAAGAACATACATTATTTCAGTAATCATGGGGTTGATCTAAAATTCAGACAGCTGAACTCCCACTTGCCAAATTTTGATCAAATAAAATTTTTTTTTTAAATATTTAAGAACCAGAGGATAATACTGCATCTTTAAAAGTTACTGTGTAATTCCTTCTGCTTAAATGTAGCATGTATAGCTATATTTGTTGCGGATGCAGTAAGCAGAGTTTATCAACAGAAAAACAAAACAAAAAAAAACTAAAAAGCTTGAGGTGGTTTTTTGTTTTTCTGATTTTTTTTTTAACTTTCATGCCCTGCAGAAAGAAAGGAAATAAATGTGAATGTCCAGCTGTTGTGACCAGACTCTTAAGTAACAACTGCGTGCAGCAGATTTACACAATTCATGGCACCAACATAAAAACTGAATAAATATGTTAGAAGAAAACTTCTGTAAGTTTTCTTTTTTTCCTTTGTGCAAAACAAGAAGGCAGAAAAGTTACACCTTTTGAGCTATCCAGATTTTAAATTATTTAATGCAAAAAGCATATTATAATACTGTGCAGGATACTGGAATGTGCAGTATACAATTATTCATAAAAAAAACTGAAAAACTGCAGCTATGATTTCTCTTTATACAAATATGTTCACAAAATGTCTCAAGACGCATACATATTTTAAAAAATGTTTATGATCTATAGCTATGGTTACAATGATCCTGTCAGTGTTAATGAAAATAGTTAAACTAGGATGTCACTTATTAGTGAAATTTACCTTTTAACACCTGAGAATATGGTGCTATCGTCATCAGCATCACCACCACACTTGCAATCAGCAATGATTTGTAAAACAGTGTAGGAGTGTTTTAAAAAATCATCTTATAGTTTATTGTATCACCATATTGGGACTGATCAGATTATATACATACATAGAGATACAACTGCACCAGCTCCTATAACATTTAAAAAACCAAATGCTTAAATAATGTAAAGGCAAACTGATCTAACACACTGTTTTTACACTGGAGGAAAAAAAATCTACACTTTGGAATTTTATCTCATCACATCATCTACCAGCCTATCATAAATGAGGAGATCACACTAATTGCATAAAATGTATTAAAACGTATACACAGAGGGTGCATACATATATACAGAAAAACGAACACAGTTACAATAAACATAAAATACATACAGTGAACAAGAGACCTGCCTGAAGCTGCACAACTTATACAATATAGGGTACACTGTACACTTAAGTCTCATCATTCCACAGGTTAAGAAGTTTATCTCAGGAAGCATTTATGCAAAAGCCTAAGATTTAATGGAGAATTTAGGTCGTGACTCACTTTGTGAAGAGCTTGCAGGAGACATGGCAGCTGGAGAGAGCATGCTAACTTGATTAAGATCCATAGATTGTTTCCGAGAAAGGCCAGGAGGCTTAGAAGGAGGAGGAGGAGGAGTTGGGGATTTTAGATGGCTGCTTGACTGTTGTGGGCTAAAAATATTACCTGAAAAAGCATAATTAAAATACATTATTGTTCTGTGAGCACACGATAACTTAAGTATCTGTTAGGATATAGTTTTGTGAACAATACAAAAAAAGTCAACAAAATGATGCTCTTTTCACAGATAAGACACTGATTTTTTTTTTTTGAATGAGATCTTTACTAAAGGGATATTATGTCATTTTACAATAGACAGAACACATAAAAAGGAGACAACCAAGTCAATAAATAATTACCTGAAGAGCTACTTCCTGAACTTGAAGGTAATTTGATGGGAGGAGGTCGGTGTTTTACACCTTTCCCCAATACTGAAGACTGAACAGAGCCTGATATAGTTTCTGGCTGCTAGGAGGAAAGAGAAATTAACACTACCACAATAATGTGAACTTCCACATACTTGACAGAAAAGACAATTCAAATAATTTGTATTAAACTTCTCAAAACCATAACAAAATTACCTTAAAAATTTCAGATTTTTATTTATTTTAAAAACATAATCTATGACTGACTCTCTTTAGATAAAACGCTTGACATCAAGAAGTAGCTTGAAAGTAAAATTTAAACTGAGCAAAAAAAAATTAAGGAGTTTCACTCTTCTCTGCAATTATGAGATCCTTCTTAGTTATTTTCACAAATGCAAGAGTGACAGATGTACTCTAAATAAAAGGATTAATTCATTCACCATCTGTATATGTCTGCCATTTCCAACCAATATGGACTTAGAGAACAGGATCACACTTCCTGATCCTAGGAGCAGAAATTTAAATATGTTCAGGGAAATCCTGAACGTGCAGAAATCAATACATGCTTTCCCACTGACATCAGTGGGATCAGAACTTCACTAATCGTTTTAGAGGAAAGGTGCTCGCTTTTTGTGTTTTCTTATAACCTCAGGTGGTTTGAACATAAGTTAACTCTATAGAATGGTTTGGGTTGGAAGGGACCTTCAAGACCATCTAGTTCCAAGCCCCCTGCCATGTTCTACCTCCCACTAGACCAGGTTGCTCAAAGCCTCATCCAGCCTGGCCTTGAACACCTCCAGGGATGGGGCATCCACAACTTCTCCAGGCAACCTGTTTCAATGCCTCACCACCCTCACAGTGAAAAAATTCTTCCTAATACCTAATCTAAATCTACATCTACCCTCTTTCAGCTTAAAACTCTTACCCCTTGTCCTATCACTATGCTCCCTGATAAAGGGTGCTTCCCATCTCTCCTGCAGGCCTCCTTTGCTGCTATAAGGTCTCCCCAGAGCCTTTTCTTCTCTTGGCTAAACAACCCCAGTTCTCTCAGCCTGTCTTCATATGGGAGGTGCTCCAGCCCTCTGATCATCTTCAACCGATCAAGTCTGTACTTCTCAGTCACTCACAACAGACCCTAAATCCACAATTCCAATAGCAGACACCATAAAAAGACTCAGCAGTGAAACACATTTACAGTTACAGCCTATATATTTTTAGCTATAAAGCAAGTATCCCATAAATGAAAGTAATGTCTAAACAAACACACACTCCACAAAGTGCTGAAACTAGAAAATGAGGCTCTCAGTATAGTGAATGGAATATTTCAGTGCTGAAGCCTAAATTAAATGTGCATGGGCTAACAAACCAGAGCATTCAGCATTGTGCAGAATCAATCTTTTTGCAGAGCTTAGCTTCCACTGATCCACAGTAATAAGAAACACTTCCTCTACATGTTTCTAATTGCTTGCTTATAAAAAAGAATCTTTTGAAGAAAATTCTGAGGATTACCTTTCTCTTCTACTATTAAAAACCACTTTCTTCGTTATGAAAATAAACACTACTGCCCAATTCAAAAGGGGACTAGATCATTAAACACAGTAACATGAGTGACTTTTGGTGGGGGCCTGGACAGCCAGACAACAGGACTTCCAGAAATACCCTCTCACTCTGAGTTATTCTATGACTTTAATATCTATACACACACATACATGTTCATGCATATGTCTGTATGTATATACATATACGCAGACACATTCATATTCCTTCCTGCAACTGCTGGCCTCTGCATGCTGTTCTTCTGGCTGACTCCAAGAACCACCCCTTTCAGAACAACACTGTTTGCAGTTTAAAAGTAGGTATTTAAGCGAAAGATGTAGCAAAGGAAATAGCCCAGCAGATACAATATTAATTTACTAGTTGGAGCCTAAATACAGCTCACCACTAGAGTACTGAATCTGACTAAGAAAGCCAGAAGAACTAAGAAAACCACGAAGCAATGCCAACAGGCATGAGAATTTGGGAATGCAGGAATTCCTACTGGATGTGTGCATATAAACAAATGCACTTTAAAGGTTTTTGTGGTTTGGTGGTTTTTTTTGGTTTTTGTTTTTTGAAAGTTTTCTTCAAAGTAAAAAGAAAATAATTTTAATAATTTCTAAAGGTGAAAGAAGTTCAGCTACTACACCTGCTTCTATGTTTAATGACCCGTAAAATAAAACGCATAGCTGCATTTTACCATACTGTTCTGTGAAAGGTTCATCTGAACAAGAGGAAATGGTACAACAAAACGTTGGAGCTAACTATACTAGACACAGCTGAAAAAAAAGACGACATGGATAAAACACATAGCGTTTGAACAGTGAAAACAAAAGTCCGTTCCTCTAACTTTTCCAATATACTTTGAACAATTATGACAGTAAAGCATTTAAGAATTCATTCAGAATGAAATTTTTAGATTATTTTACTTTTAAATGTGGACAGCAAAAATTATTCTAATAATTCAACAACCAAGTGCAAATAAAAGACATTTATGGCTTGATAAACTCACTTCTATTTCCTTCCCTGGAGAAAGATGACTAAGGTTGACTGATCCACCAGAATTATGAAACATTTTCACAGGACATTTAGCTTCATTTTGTACCAACTCCTGATACTGGTTCACCACTCTGAAACACAACAAGGAGGACATAAAAAGATTAACAACTTTGAAATTCTAAAGTAGATTTGTATATGTAAACACATAGTTGTATATATCACAGTCATGTATTATATAAGTAATATTACCTATATAAAATAGAGATGCACATACATATGGAGATACAGATGTTTTATCTCTGTCTTTCTACTTACGCTCCTAGACTCTTTTCTCAGATTTATTCCGTTTTAACTTTTCTTTAATTACCCCTTTTTTTTTATTTCTAATGCAAAATACAGTTCCTTCAAGAAACAGGTTTAAGAAACACTCTCTTGGAAGAATATGCAAAACTGTAGACAGAACAGTTCCCAAAAGCAAGTGCAGTTCTTTGGGATGTCAGTCAGTGGGGATGCCATTCCAGAATCTTTTATAAAGCTGTGTCCTCTGTTTGTACTCCCTGTGGAACAGCTGACCCTCCTTTAACTTGAGACTTATGTCAGATGAGGACTCAAAGCAAGGGATGAATTAAGAGGTCCATACTGAATGTATATGCAAGAATCAGTTATCACAGCAAAAGCGATCACTGTTTCTTATTTGAGCACGAGGACAGCCAGAATAACAAGCAGTGATGCAGCCAGGAATTTAAAGCATCAATGAGATCAGGCAAACAAGTTTAAGTACTATTCTACCAAATCAAATATAACATCATTACTAATTTGAGATAGCTAAGTTGAGGGAACACTGTTTCACGAACATGAGCAGAATACATAAAGTGACCTTGCAGACTTGAAAATCAAGTTGAAGACCTGTCACTTGTTGCTTATACTCTAGCAGACTGAATCTCAGTGAAGAACTGCTGGAATATTTCCATTAGCTTACACCAAAATGCGATGAACTACACTTTACATTGAGTATAGCACTAATTCAATATACTGCTACGTGACTAATGCAGACATAAGCAAGGGCCCCAAGATACATGGCAGAGAAAAGGGTGCAGTGTACTTGTTTTCAGCACTTAGGTTTTAGACTGCCCTAAAATCACACTGGAGATGGAGTAATAAAATGCCATGTACTCAAAAAGGTGGTCCTGCTTTCCTTCCTCCTCTGCTGTTTCTTCTTGCCCTAGTAGAAGGATTTGTGCAACCCAGAGGCAAACTTGATCCAGAGATCAATCCCAGTTAAAACTAGACCACTTTATTATTGTTTTAGTTTTCAGCCAACCAACCCCCAGCACAAACAGCAGAAGTCTCTATCAGCACAAAGGAGGCAGGAGAGAATATAAACAGTTTCTTGATCAAAATTATGTATTAAAACAAATAAAATTATTGGGTTTTGATCAAATCAAGGACTCATCTCCCTGCCAGGCACATATGAAGAGTGTGTGGGGGGGTAAGAGCTACGGCACATACATCACCTCGAGATCTCCTATGAAGGCACAAAAACACAACTGGCTTTGACAGAGATTGCTTTTTAAAGGTTCTGTGCTCAGATGCACAAAGAATCACAGGTATCTGATGCACACTGACAAAACATTTGAAGAAATACTTATTTTGCTGCCTAAGTTATCCCAAAATTGCTACTCCTGATCATTCTACAACTAAAACATATGGAAAAACCATCTTGTTATTTGCTTCTCTAAGAAGACAGGATCAAGTAATGTACAACACACAAAAACAAACTGCATATATAAGTCCCAGATTACACTTAATTTCAAATGAACAATTTCTGTGACTGCTAATTTACCATCCAAAATGTCAAGATGGAATTCTTGCTAAGTGCTCTCAGAATTTTTTATTACCTGTGTAATCAAGAATAATTGTGTAAATAACTGTAACAACACGCTTGAAATTTAGGTAGCGATGCAAGCTGTATTCATGTATTTGCTTTCCTCTATTCTTCCTTGCTTGTTAAATACAGAAACTGCACACTATATCCTACTTTTTGTTATGATGATTAATTCCTGTTATTTTCCTCATCTGTTCTGCATCTGTTTCGCTAACCATAACATCAGAAGTCATAATGGCTAAAAGGAACAAAATTCACTATTGGGCATCAACACAAATGGTTGTAGATACTATATTAATTTACCTTTCAGCATCAGTCTTCGAACCAATAAGGAACCTGAAATGTAAAATGTATAATATATTATCAGTAATGAACTGGAGTAAAAGAACATGTTTTTATAATGACAAAACTTTGAATGAATGATAACGTGGTTCTTTTTCCAAACCTACTGAAAGTACAAGAGATACTGTATCCATTTAATGGACTGGGTACTATTTAGTACTTGAAATACAAACTTGGCTTCATAACTATATATATAATACACACACATGGTCTAATATGGTCTCCTTTAAGAGTAAATTACCTACAAAGCAAAAGGCAGAACATGGAAGCTTTGTATTTTATACTCTCAAAAAACAGAAGTGAATAACTGCTAAAGAATTGCTACTGTAAAAACTACAAAGGGAAGGTTATAAATCAACATACGGATATGCTCACACTGAAATATAAACATAAGTGACCTGTGGGTATGTCAAAAACAGCCCTACCTGAATATTCTAACGAACAGTTTCCACCTTTCACCTCATATGACATAGTTTTCTAATGAGAAAGTATACAAGTGTTGATGAACTTCAGCTGGCAATGTCTTAAAAACAATGGACTAGACCAGTGATTTCCAAAAAAACCCAGGCACCTAGCACCTATAAATCCTATTAATTCTCAGCCTTATTTCACAGCTGTAAGCTACGCTAGCACAGCTGTTCTAGGCAGATCAGTACTAAGTAGCTGTTCCAGCTTTGACTGCAATAGTTAATTTTCTTCATAGTAGCTAGTGTGAGGCTGTGTTTTGGATTAGTGCTGGAAACAGCATTGATAACACAGGGATGTCATAAGCTGAAAGAGGATAGATTTAGACTAGACACTAGGAAGCAATTCTTTACTGTGAGGGTGGTGAGGCACTGGAACAGGTTGCCCAGGGAAGCTGTGGATGTCCCATCCCTGGAGGTGTTCAAGGCCAGGCTGGATGAGGCTTTGAGCAACCTGGTCTAGTGGAGGGTGTCCATGCCCATGGCAGGGGGCTTGGAACTTGATGATCTTTAAGGTCCTTTCCAACCCTAGCCATTCTATGATTCTATGTTTTCTTTATTGCTGAGCAGTGCTCAGAGTCAAGGCCTTTTCTGCTTCTTACACCACCCCACCAGCGAGTATGCTGGGGGGGGCAGCACAAGAAGTTGTGAGGGGACACAGCTGACCCCAGGTGACCAAAGGGATATTCCATACCATATGATGCCATGCTCAGCATATAAACCTGGGGGAAGAAGGAAGGGGAGGACATTCAGAGCAATGACATTTTGTCTTCCCACGTAACGATTACCCATGACAGAGCCCTGCTTTCCTGGGGATGGCTGAACACCTGCCTGCCCGTGGGATGTAGTGAATGAGGGTTGTCAAACACTGGAACAGGTTGCCCAGGGAAGTGGTTGAGTCACCATCCCTGGAGGTATTTAGAAGACATGTAGATGTGTCACTTAGGGACATGGTTTAGTGGTAGACTAGTGTTACGTTAATGGTTGGAATCAACGGTCTTAAAGGTCTTTTCCAACCTAAATGATTTTATGACCTCCTTATTTTGCTTTGCTTGCATGCACGGCTTTTGCTCTACTTATTGAACTGTCTTCATCTCAACCCATGAGTTTTCTCACTTTTACCCTTCCAATTCTCACCCCCATCCCACTGGGGAGGCGGGGAGTAAGTGAGCAGCCATGTGGTTCAGAGTTGCCAGCTGGGGTTAAACCACAATAGTATGAAAACAAACAGTAAATAGTTCAGTCTAGGGATAAAAAATCCTGAGTATTAAGATGATTTTAAGATTTTAATCAAAAATATGATAGGAATTACATATTAGACAATAAAACAAATTTCATTAACATAACTGAAGTTTGCTCAGGCTCACTGCTTCTTGCCTTACAGAAATTTATAGGGTCTACTCTGCTGCACAGGTTTCTCCATAGAAAGAATATGGTACACACAAAGAGCCAAGAACAGAGAATCTTTGTAGAACCCCAACCAATGATAACAGATTCAAAATTACAAAGCTTCTTAGGAGCTCATGTTTTTCATAATTTATTTTAGCTTTAATTTCTCTGCATAAGGGTAAACATAAGAAAATTGAATCTTTTGTTTTAACAGCATCAAACAAATTTTGACAACAACCAAAATTATGAAAAAGTGTTAACATGTCTCACAGTGTCTCCACAATTTCAGTGTACTGGGGTTTTTTTCTGTGTGTTTTTTCTTTAACACAATACATCTTTAATGTAAAAGAACATGCAGATCTAACATAAAAGTACATTTAAGATATGATGGTTGCTTGAACACATTTTGTTTTGGGTTTTTTTGTTAGAAAAGTTTTGGGTTCGTTAGCTGAATTTTTCAAACAAAACTCAAGTCAGATTTCTCACTCTAGAGTATTCTTATGACTGAAAACGGTAATTGTCTTCCTTCATCTATCAGATCACAGCACAGTGAAAGAGCACGCAACTTACTGTGATGGAGTTAATAGGTTGTCATTTTCCTCATCACCTTTGAGTGTCTGAATTTTACCATAGTACAAGGGATTACCAAGAGACTGAAAAATTGTGAGTTTTGTTTTTTGAAGCTGATTACCAACTTCACATTCAAACACATAATCATCTTTTATTTCCTAAAAAGACAAAAGAAAAGAATGAAATAAATCTTAAACAAGTGACAACAGAAACAGCTAGTAAAACATGCCAGTTCTATACAATAGATTAAGAAACACTCTATGAGAAAGGTAACTAACACTCTATAAGAAGGGGTGCAGTATGTAAAATGAAAGTGAATTGAAGTTATCAAAAAGAATGAGAGGAAAATGAGTTTATCACCTCTTAAAAAGACAAAAATATTGCAAACCCTAAACAATCATGTTACCTATGGAAAGGCAGACTGGGTAAACACATATAGAAACAGTTTATATAAATTATGACTTTGCAAAAAAAGTTCCAAATGTTGGAGATTAAGATTAATTTCTATGGGAAAATATTACCTTTTGCTAATAGGAAACTACAAAGACATCATGACAGATGCTGTTAATAAAGATAGTATTTTGCCTCCAAAATTACAAACAGCTAATTAATTTATGGCTAATTATGTTAAATGACTACTTCTTATCAAATCATGTAATTTGCACCAAAAATCTAATGGTTCAACTTACAAAAAGCTCTTTCTGCAATGTTTAAGAGGCATTTAATATTACTTAATCTCTTTCCAAATTTAACATTTTGATTTTAACAGAAGCTCTTTTTCAACAGATTGACAGAAAATATGAGTAAAGAAAGCAATGCTCCCTGTAAATTATTATGCTTTCTCTACTATACAGCCACAGCACATCCTACTTGGGAGATTAAAGTTGCTTTTCCTTGTGTTTCTGGAAAACCTGAGGAAAGTACAAGACTGAATACACGCACGCTGCCCTGTATGAAATTACAAGCATCTGTGGTAATCTTTTTGTGTCTACAAAACACATGGAAGATTAATTAAACTGGGGGAAGGAAGACACTTTCCACATTACTTAGATTTTGTCGAAATAAGAGGCATTTTAAATAGAGACAGAAGTTTGGCCAAAGGTCTAAACTACTCACATGCGCTGGCCAGACAGTTGGTTGTGAGTCATCAGGCTTGATAGATTTTTCCACTTTGGCATATTTTTCCACCTTAAAGAAAATGGAGATATCAGAAAAGAACGAACAATAGTCATATTGGGCCAGAGTTAAAGTCAATCTAGCACAGCTTCTTGTTTTTAAGAGTGGCTAACATGATAGCCTTAAAAAAGAAGTGCAAGAAGCAGACAAGGATAGCTTGATACTTTGTACAGCATCACCCCTTTGTGTTACATGTTCATAAAAAGTGAACTGGAGAACCAGCAGAACTTTACATTTATTCTGTTACACCATATTTATTATGTTAAACTTAACAGAAGTTTGAAACATGGCTTAAGACTACAGACTGAAACCACTGCCCCCACTGTGGAATGAAGAAATTGCACAATACCAGTAGCTCCTAAAGACTCTAATTAGGTCAGGTACTTCACTGTTGAAGTGTGAAGGGAGAGAAGGTTTGTACAACCTTACAGTATCATTTCATGGGTAATGAACACTCTTGACAGACCTATCTAGTCCAAAGTTACAATCTTGTCTAGCCTATCGAGTCCCTTCTGTATGCCAGTAGTACGTGTTTTGACAGTGCCAGAAACAGAGCATGAATGTCCGTGAAAGATGGTATACAGAGCAATCAGAAGAATTCCCAGACAGAATTCTCTGTATAAACAACTAAGCTAATGAAAATAGTATGTCCCACAGTATCATACTATCATGTCAAAAAAGAGTAACTTCTACCAAGCCAAGAAGTGAATCCTTTTTAAAGAATTTCCTTACCTCATTTCTTTCTCTATTTTCTACATTCAGACAATTTCAAACAGACACGTATGCATTGAACCTACAGATGAACAATACTAAAGATCTGTTTTCACTACCTCATCCAAACTATCATGTTACAACTAGAATGTATTCCAGTGTGGTTTAGCTTGTGTTTTTACCTTACAGTATGTGAAAATCATTAAGTGTTAAAGTCACTCCCACTTTTTAAAAGTCATTCTTTGATCTTGGATACTCTTTAGTCACTTCTTCATACAACACACTGCTCAATACAATTGCTAATAATTGCTAATGGTAACAACTGGACTTACATCCACTTCAGAAGGTGCAGTCAAGTAGCAAGGGTTCTGTTTCCACATATCTACACACTGGAAGATGAAAAAGCAGTATTAATGTATTAGATGTTTTAAATTAAGAATAGAAGTATACATATCTGTGTCTCAGAACACTTACATTTCCAGCTTTTGAAATTTTGAGGTCATACTGCTGTGCTCCTTTCCTCTCCTTTCTTTTCTGTAAGTAGTCAAGTAGTCTGAGCTGAGGTGGAGTTGAGTAGTGAGCTACTTCCTGCTGTCTGTTCAGAGACGACCTTGAGTACCTTTTGAAGCACCTATGGTAAAATGACAGATAAGCTTGTAAAGCCATCAAAATGAAATTCCCCGCTGCATATGTAAAAACACAAAAATATGCAGGGAAATGCTACCTGCATTAAGACTAAAACATATGTTTTGAAATATTATTTTAAAATTGCTATTCTGGATTACACTGTACAACTCAAATTACTGATTTGATATTTTTAAAAAAATACTAGGATTCTGTTCATGTGTTTCAGCACTAAGAGTGGGGTTATTTCTGAAATGCATAATTGAAGTACATTGTCAAAATGAATAACTAACTGAAAAGTCACCAAACTTAAATTACTTGTATATTATCATAGAAGTCAGTTCTGTCAAGTGATCTGTGTACCACTTATGTAACTACAAAGTTATTAACACAGTAACTACCCTCCATTCTTTGTCTCATGCCAAACCCATTGGTACATTAATGCTGTTCTGGACACTCATTTAACACCTTTGCCTATTTTACTAGTGCAATGTTTGTTGACCACCAAACTCTAGTTTTAAGGACAGCTTTATCAATTTCACTATTTATACTTTTTTAGACCACTACTTGTACATTAGCATAGCATTTCAATGCAAATCTAGTTGTAAACATTTCAGTAATTTTGAGAGACAATTAGTACACTTTCATTCTACAGCGTGAACGCAACTCTTGGTAGAACAAATGTGAACCATTTCAAGCTTTTGTGGAAAAAAGTGAACAACCATGCACAAAAGTGAAACAATTTCAACATTCTGTGTATAGTACATTCCACATGACTTTTAAGTTTTCTAAGATTCCAATATGCCCACACTTCTGTTTAGCCTAAATGTCAAAGAATTCCCTTGATTTCCTCATTCAGGGTGAAACTTGTACATAGCTTTTAACAAATCAGAGACCAATATGCAAGATACCTATTTACATATTTTACATTACTGAGCTTTCACCTGAGTCAGCTTACATCTGGATTACGCAAAAAAAAGGACAAAATCAAAATTGCAATATACAATATTATGAAAATAATATTATACACATTACTTTGATACACAAAAATAAGCATATTAGAGTACCTACTACTAAATGAAATACCATAAAATATTGAGCACTTAAAAATATGACATAATATCTTGACTGTTCCTCATATTCCTAATATTTAAGCAGATATTACATATGAGAAGCAAAATTTTCACATAAAGCATTGCTTATATTTTTCTTTGAAACACTTCATAAAATTTCAAAGAAAGACTCAACATGCTTCACACTGAAAACTACCGTTTCATGGGGCGAGTGTTCATCTTCTGCTTGTTGTACAGGAGTCTGTTTGTAGTACAGGTCACTGCTATTGAAGGATCAAGACACAAAGGCTCTGCTGTAGCCAAAATAAGTTGGCTCTCAAGTAGGAGCTTGTCCTCCTGTAATATACACAGCTATTAATAAATGTAAAAATATCAAGACTTTTACACTAATTAAATTGATATATACCTATGCACATGTGCACATTATCTTAAAGAAAACTGAAAAAATTGTGTGTGGATGGTGAACAAAAGAAAATACTCAACAGTTAAGTATCACTAACCATTATTGTCAGTTACAGAGCTTTGGGTAGGGTTTCCAACAGGAAAAGAAATCCTTCTGAAAGGTAGGGGACACATCCTGGGGTTTTTTTGTTAGTGTTTTCTTCATTTGTTTGTTTTAAACACAGTAGGAGTGGCAACAAAATCTATTTTCTGTTAGTGATTTATATCGATGAACTGGCAATCAGTGCCATAAAGATGATCTACCCATCACTACAGATTACAATTTGAAAAGGATTTGAGCATGATTGTGGCTCTGAAAAACAAATGAGTGCATTAAGTGCACCATGCTATTCAGCATTTAACTAACTGTAACCGTATAAGTGTAGATACTTAGGATTCTCCTTACTGTAACAGTATCAATAGCAAAACAACGCTAGAGGAGCCACTGTGCCATTAGACTCCAACTGATGTTCTGAGGCTGTATGTTGAAGATGAATGAAGGTAAACTAGTTAAGAGTAACTCCAATACTGTCATTCTGCATTACCAAAAATTAAGGTCTGATTCTATAGCTTTTAGCAAATCCTATTGTTTTCTATGGCATCTTGTAGGAAGATGCTATTAACAAGTTAATTTGGCAGATCTCTGGAGTGTGTACCATGCAGTACTATGTACATAACTGACAGTTTGAATTAAACAGAAAAATCAGATTTTATTAAACAAATACATAATTAAAATAAATTTTATTTTGGTTTTTACCACGACCGTAAAAGTTTTAAAATAACTGCTAACCCACCTGTGTCCATTTGTGATTGTCACTTGTTATAGAATGCACATCACAAATTAAAGTCTGAGAAGGAAGACAATGGTAATTAGCTTTCAACTAGATAATAAGATTTCTTAACATATGTTCAGTAATAGCTTGTATCCCATCCAGGAACTACCGTAACACTGAAGAATGACTTGGAACACTTACCTGCATTGTAGGACGCAAGAGAATGTGCTTGCTTTGGTACGTTGGAGATTTCATGTTACCAGACTGCCTATAGTCACGTATTTCTGCTATGACACACCCACAATGAAAAATATTAACCTAATTGAAAAAAAGAAAAAACTTGTAAGTAATCAAACATCTGCCTCAGCCACTGTCTTCAAAAAGAAGTTCGGTTTATGTATATATTCAGTGATACAATGGATAAAGCTAATCATCAATTTGGCCAGACCAGTGGTGTTTACTACATACCTAGACACACCTGAAATACAAGCTTCAAATGTAGTGTTTTCATATGCCAGCAATATAGTTTTAGGAAATACCCATGTCAAATATTTCATAATGACAAAGAACAAAGGATATTTTGCTAGAGCACAGAAATTAAGTTGTTGTTTGTCAGCCTTCACCATAGCAATCTCTCTTGTATCCCTTTCTCCCCAATTCCTCCCCCAATATAACAATAAAATTAATTTGGCACATTAAGTATTACAGTTCCGAATGTGCTCAAGTGTTTTACATGTTGTGGTTGGAATCACCTATGTGAAGCATTCAAAAAAAAAAAAAAAAAAAAAAAAAATCAAGGTCTGAGGCTCTTTTGAAAACAAAACTTTCAAACCTGAGATTTTTCTAAAAGATCAACCAAAATAGGTGGTAACTCCTCTGCATCCAAATATTCAAGCAGCTCTCCTTCCTCATAAGGCAGCCGAATGGTCTCAGAATCTGAATTTAAACAAAACATATTGCTTTTCGTTTGCCTTTCAAGTTCAAACTTTAACAATATGAAATCTAAAACAAACTTGCCACAGGAAAAAGTAGGGCTGGTGGAAACCTAAAACAGTCATAGTATTACTTTCCACATCTATTTCTGTTCACAGAGCTTGTTTTGCTCGTATTGTTCCAAAAGGCAACATGCCTTTATAGCTCAATGGGACAAAATTTTTTACTACCAGCAGTGTATGCTGTTACTGCACATCACAGAACCAGTGGATGCAACGAAACTGGAACACACATGCCTTTAGTCAGACCTAGGAGCAGTGAAACAATTTGGCAGATGGGACCTGAAGCAAGAGAAACTCAGATAAGTAACTCAGGAAGCTACGGGGAAATAAGAGAATAGAAGGCTGTCAAGAAGACTTACTTCTACTGATTTATGCTGCATTATTAGAGACTATTTCTGAGCACCTCACAGCTTTATGAAAACTTCTAGTTCAAGTACAGTTGATTGGGTTTTTTCCACAAGGGATTACATTAGAAGTAAAACAGCTAAATGTAAGCAACAACATAACTATTTATAGAACATTGAGTATTTTTAAAAATTAAACAGCAAAAGTATTACCTGAACCATTTTTTCCCCTGAGCATCAGTGAATAACCCTCATTTCCCGGATAGAGGTTCACTACCAGACATGACAATGTCTCCTGCATAACCAGCTTCTCAAGTAAATTCACATTTCGCCTCAGCTTCTGCTTTAAAAGTAAACATTGCTCATGAACATAATACTATCAAGCAATTAGTAGAAATAAAAACAATTGCTAGAATATGAGTACTATTTACATGTTGAAGCATACATCTAAACAAGCCCAGTTAAATGTAATTGGACT